AACCGGTTTCACTTGTTCATACCGCAGCGCCTGAACGCTGGGCAGGTGTCTGCTGGCAGAGGCCAGGTGAGCGCGGGGCCGCTAAGGGCGGCTGTGCTGCCCTGAGGCCGTGGCTGAGGAGCGGGCGGGTGGAAAGCGCAGGGGCCCTTCCCCGGGGACACGGGGATAGAGCTGTGCCCGGAGAGTGCCCCGGCAGAGACCCGAGCTGCAACACACACACACACACACACACACACACACACACACACACACACACACACACACACGGGCAGGACGGCTCCTGCGCTGGAATAATTTCTGTCCATATGCCTAGACTGGTGCCGGGGGAACACCTTGGGTTCGAATTCCAAAGACTTTTGCTGTTATTTCCCATCTGAACTGAAGGGAATCATCTTATCGAGAATCTGCTCTGTGTTGTAACTGCTTCACCGATGATAAGTCCGCATTTGATACGGGTAATTCAGCACAGAAAGCGAGCAGTGCCCCACAAGGATGTGAGCAGTGGCGTTGATGTCTTGCTCTCACCAGATCAAGTGTGCAGTGAAAATGTTCTGTGCCCACACTGGGTTATGGGAATTAAGTTATTTTTTCATGTCGAAGCTCCTTAAGAAATGTGTTGAGATTCAAACGGGATATTCTGACAGCAGATGAGTTACGCTGTTTACAGGACAAACTTCTGTCACTTAAAAACCTTGTAAAGAGTATTTTCATGCTGGAACATAATCAGATATGGCTTAAAACTGCCATTGGAAGTAAAGCAAAAAAGAAATACCAGCTACTGGTCTTCAAAAAAAGTAATTTGGCTTCTTGAGTTCTTTACCACGCACGAGTGCACAGACAGGCAGGAACTGCTGAGTTCCCTGCATTGAAAGCTTCCCTTTTGGCCACAGTCTATAAAGGAAACTGCAAAAGACCAACAATTTGATAAGCCACTGTGAAGTAAGAAGCAAGCGAGTTCCAAAGCCATTGCCAATAGCTTGGGCTTTGAAAGTTGTAGGCAGCTGCTTCATTAATGCAAAATTCTATTTTCACATCATCTGTAGAGTTTTTTTTTTCCTAGATTTATAATCCTTCTTTACAAATCTACCCATAAGAAACTAATTTTTAAATTTGTGCAGGGTTCTAACAAATGCTCTGATGATGATTTTAAGTTGCCATCCAATATGTCGAACGGTGGTGAAATCACTGATTCAGGTAAGACTAAAATATTTGCCATGCACAATCTTTACTTTTTTTTTTAATATTACTGTTTTAATTTTCATGAGTAGTCTTACAGTTTCATACCTGTAACACTGTTTCAAATCTGTTAACACTGTTAACAGTTTCACCGTTACTTTTTTTAGCAATACATTGATCAATGTCTCTTCATGTTTCAGATACAATTTCACAGCAAGTAAAACTTTGCTCTGAAGTAGATGAAGAGGTCAGCTAAGTATCAACTCTGCATATCTAATTTATTTGGGTTGTTTGAATTTGTTCCCAAACAGTGCCTGAAGCATTATTCAGTAGATATTTCAGTGCTAAAGGAGGTAGTCTGAAGGGGATAATGTTTCCTGTCTCGTATTTAAAGCTGAATCACTTAGAGGAGATATTTGTGATTTAGTGAACATGCCTGCAGACAAATCTTTAAAAATTAAGGTGATTGCAATGTTGTTTGTTATTGTTTTTTTCATTTTCTTTAAGTGCCTGTTAAGTCTTTAGAGTAAGATTTAAACACTTAAGTATCCTGGTGGAACTGGTTCTGACTATTCCATTGAGGGGCAGAAGGACTGAAATCAGAGTATTCTTTGGAAAATGGAAGTAGATAGTGCCAATTGCCTTGTCTGGCTTTATTTTATCTGTAAAACAATGAATTTAGTGTTTTCCTCAAGCACTGGATTCTTTTCACAGCTTCTTTACCAGCATATTTCTGCTTTAGCACAATTCAGTAAAGCTCATTTTTTCACAATAGCTTCTGTACTGCAGCTGCAAAACACTGTTTGCTACAGTCGCCCTGAGAATTCAACCTTCTGATCTCGTTTTCATAGTTTCTAGCCACTTTTCCAGGAAAGTAACTATAAACATAGATGTTTATACATGCTATTAAAGAAATGTCTTTTGATGGACATTTCTCAGGACCAGTGTGGTTGGGAAGGTGGTAACCTAACCATCCAATCCCTGGTTGTTGTCAGGAATCTATAAATACTGAAACCACAGAATAAATCGCTCTCTTTTTCCTATCACACCTTGAGCTGTGTCTGTGTGAATCATTTTGTGTCCAACAGCGACATGCTACTACAAAATAAAACACATTTCTTCTGCTCCTCCTGCTGATTTTCATATCCCTGATGATTAGACTTCTTTTAATCCTAGCAGCTATTAAAGCACTATTAGGACTGTAAAGATATCGTGATGCAGCCAAGACAAGGATGGTGTTAGGGACGTCATACGTAAACCAAACTGCCCTGTGGGCTCGTGTGTTACTCTTACCTGCCTTGACCACTGGCCCAGCACTGCCTGTACAATGCTTTCAAAGTGTTCTAAGAGCACAAGGGTGCGTGGTTTTACTTCCTGATGCGTGCTTACATTAATGGCAGTATCACTGCTGCTCTTGGGCAAAGTCCCTGAAGCTGTTTTTACAGAACCTACTAGAAGGAATTTTGGCTTTGCTGATAATTCTAGCAAAGCTTTTATTGATTTTGGTGGACTGCAGTTATCCATGCCTTTAAGACCATCTATTTGGTGATGTCTGAAGGCAGTTTGGGATATTTCATTGTATTTGTTTATCCTATGTGCTCTGTAATGCCTTTTGATACATACATAGTGGATGCACAAAGATTTAAACTTTGGCTCCTGATCCCATATATGCTTATATCACCACCTGTGGAAAAATACTACTCTTGTGACATTTCTAAGAGATAAATATGTTATCTACAACACTATTAGATAGTATTTGAGAGTAAATTGTGGAACCTGTTTTAATAGAATACAGAAACAATGAATGAAATGTTCTCAAAACTCTACAAAGAGGCTGAGAAGATCAAGCAGTGGAAACTGACTGTGGAATCAGAACTAAACCAGAAAGAAAGAAAACTCCAAGAAAATAGAAAGATTATTGAAGCACAGAATAAAGCCATTCAAGAACTGCAGGCCAGTATTGTATAGTATACATTGAATAGATGAAGTGCTTCCTGATTTAGTATGACAATATTATTGATGCAATTAAATATAAAAGAATGTTGCAGTTTGGTTTGTGCCTTGAGAAAATGATTATTTTGAGAAGGTGTGTGCACCTGTCCTGTGTGTGTTTGTATGAAGAATATACCCCTAAGTGCCTCAGTTGCTGGTAAATTATTGTTCATTAATTATTATGACTTTCATGCAAAAGATGACTCGGGATGTAATACCAGATAAAACAGACTTCTGTCTACTGTCTACTGTAATTTTTTCTGCCCAAAATTACTTTTTCGTATAGGATTTGAGAAGTCAAAGTGTATTTCTAATGTATTTTTCAATAACAGTGTCTTTTTGCATTTGTTCTCTATGAAATTAGTTTGAAAATGAAAAACTCCGTTTGAAACTGGAAGATGAGATTTGTGAAAATAAAGATCTCTTGAAAGAGTAAGTAATACAACCAAATACATATTTTTGTGGTGAAAATAATTAGTTTTCATATGGTCAGTTTCATATAGCTGTTAAATTGTAAAGGTCATTTGCATTGTTACTCCTTAGGTGCATAAAGTACTGTGCACTCCTATGAAAGCATATGGTATTTTCCCTCCTTTAGAGCCGCTGCTTCGAGGCATCTGTGTAATCTGCTCAAGGAAACCTACTCTCACTTGACAGAGAAGACCAGCAAATGTAAATGCTTTTTTATTTTTAATTTATGAGAGTCAGTGTACTTCTAGCTTGCTCTAAATTCACAAACAGAAAAAAGTTCTCGTGCTGTTCAGATACGTTCTCCAGTTGAGGTCGAGTCTTAAAATGAGAAGTGAATTCAAAGTAAATCACAAAATTAGGAGTGAAGCCATAGGTTTAACAGAGGTATGGTTTGTAATGCTAAATCCAGAGGGCTTTTGAAGCCAGTGTCATTGTTTGCTGAAAGGTTGCAAGCCTGGGAGCTATTTGGGTGCCTAAACACTGATACAGGTTTGAGGCAGTGTCAACACCCCTGGCTGACCACTGACAGGTACTCCAGAGCCATGCAGGTCTCCTCAAGTCTGGTCAGCCCACTGAAGGTTTTCAATCCCATCCAGACACTGTGAATATATTAAGATGTATGAAGTGGCACTTCATGCCTGTTTTTAGTTAGTCAAATCTACTCCAAATTCCCAGCACTCATTAATAAATTTCCAGAGCTGGAATTTCCTGTTTGAAGCCATTCGCACATTTGTGGGGAAAAAAGGTCTTAACACCAAGGTATAATGAGTAAGTAGAATTCTTCTTGCAAAGCTGAACAAGCCAAGACAGTTGGGTAACTTAATGAAGTTTAATTCTTGAGGTTTTAAAACGTGTTCTTGATTGGGAATGACTTTATATGCAATTTAGAATTGTTATTGTAGTCATTAAAATTTTACTGACTTGATCCCGGATACTTAGGAAGTGTCTATTTCTTTTTAGCCTTAATTCTAGAAACACTTGTGTATAGATGTACTTTTTTGATAGGTGTGTTCATACTGTCTATCAATTACAAAAGTGAAAGGAAAGAAGGAAAATATGGACATGGAGTGTTGTTGCAATTTTATAGTGATAGTTCTGTGGTCATAGGTATCTGCTGATAGGAAGAAATTCAGTGCTAAACCTTACAGTACAATTTATCAAATACTAACAGTTTTGATACATTATTATTCAACAACATTTATACTATAATAATTAATATGGTTACGTAAATTGATCCGGAATTACACTTTTCACAGAAAAAATTATATTGGGAAGGAAATTTAAAAGCTGAGCTTGCTTAATGTTTCAATGAAATACATGTTTTCCCTAGATTCTATAACTTTTGGCACCATGTTTTATAATGACTTATTTAATAAGAAAGGAGCTGATAATTCCTTTTTTAATTCATTAGGCTGATTAAGCATAATGATTTGGACAGCCTGCATTCTTTTTCAAAAGAAAAACCTTCCTGAATGTTCTTGCTTTGACAGATGAACAGGAAAAAAGTGAAACAAGACAATTGTATGAGGAACTTCATAGCGACATAGAAGTAAGTGACACAGCTTGATAAAAAGGATGTGAGTTATGTGAGTTACATGTTTATGTTGAGATACTATTTGTTTCCATCATGTGTGCATATCATGTCATGTGTGATGCAGAAAGTCAGGTTTTCAGTCCCTTCTCAAGAATCATTTTTGTATTATATAAAGCACATTCAATGGAGAAAATGCAGCAGCATGTGGGATGTAGATCCGTGTGATCTGTGTGATCTGTGCTTAGTGCTGGGTGACTGCCAGAATGTCTTGTCTTCTTTTTTGGACTCTGTTTCGCCTACCTGGTGATTTCTTGGAATGGCTGAGGATGGCAGCAGCCTCTGGAGAACTTCCAGAGTTTTCCAATATTGAACTTCAAATATTAAATTTTGTTTTTAGAGAATGACAGTGGCATTTGAAGAGCTTCATATGCAAGCTGAGAAGGACAGATTGGAAATGAGCATCAAATGTGAGAATTCTGTTTATTGTGTTTATGCTGCTGGCTCAACAATTTTCTATTTGATAGCTTTTGTAACACATGCAGGGTCAGAGCAGACAGACGTGAAGTGCTTGGATGGTGAGCAGGTCACACTGAGACACCAGGACCCTCTTTTATTCATGCTGCCGGTATTCACTGCCTGGCCCCTTCTGTTGCTGTTCCACTGGGCCAAATTTGGAACTTTATTATTCAAACATTCACTCAAAGTCCAAGTTTTGTCTGTGAAGTACAGACTAGAGATCAATACTTATTTCATGCAACTAGTTTATTTAAATGATAATGCACTAATGTATGGCTACAGAAACTTTAGCTATATGCTATGTATAGGCTACTATGTTCGTGTTTCATTTTCACATGCTCTTTTCTGTTAGTTTCTTGTAACAAACATGGAGTAGTGGACTAATTCTGTGGAAAGCTGGCAAAAAAAGATATTTTTATTATGAAATCAAACATTGCCTCAACGATTTTTCTTGGGAAACAAATTGTACCGCTGTACAATTACAAGCAATCTTAAACTGCAAGTTATATTGAATTTAGAGTATATTTCAGCTAGAATGTTAACTATGGATATTGCTGTATCTCAAAAGTAAAAGAAGAAGCAGAAAAGGTGGACAAGTTTGAAAAGGAATGCAAACTGGAAGTCAGTCAGAAGGAAAAGCAGGTTTGCTCAGTTTTACCATCTAATATGTGCAGCTTTATTTGTGACTAAAGGGGCAATGCAACACTCAATAATTGTTTCTGAGTACTATTAAAAAAGACAAAAATAATAGCTGAAGCTGCATTTAATTCAGATTCTGCTAAGTTTAGTGATGTTTCAGTACCTTTAACCTATTGGAATTCATTATTTGATTTTGATCTGGAAAATCTTTTTGTTTAGACTAATAATGTGACTTGATCAATATTTGACTAAGATCAACAATCTTATCTAACTTGAATGACAGCAGTATGTCTGCTTATCATAGCTGGGGTACAAATGAAAATGAGTATCTGTCCCTTCTCCAGACTTCATTATGATATTTCCTTAATTTTTTTAGATTTCAGCTCTTACCATACAGAGAGATGAAAAAGATGGTGTAATAGAAGACATCAAGGCTCAGCTGAAGGCGTCACAAAATAAGATTGCTGACTTAATAGAAGCAAAATGTAAGAGTTCTGTCTGCTGTGTTTAAATGTAATTGTTATAGAAGCATAGGAAGCAGGGTCATGATAGTTTTATTCTGTTGCTGGTCAGCAGCAGAATTTTGGGTCCTTGAAGGCCTTGTTTTTGTTTGGAGCAGAAGCTGCTCATGTGGATTCAGGAATGGCAGGGTAGTTTTTAGGCAAGTCAAGCTGTGAGAGCTTTTGAAAATTGCAGGGGGAAAATATGTTGCTTCACTTTTGCAGATTCATAGTCAGGTAGATGCCACTGAGGAAACTTACTTTTCAGAACTTGATTTTCAATATTTTTAAGCCATCTATATTCAAAGTATTTCTAGTATATGATGTCAATACCATTGGTATTTGTTAAATTCTATAAATGTATGTACTTTTCCATTTTTAGCAGCATTTTTTAGTAAGTATCCTATTTGTAAAAGTATAAACATGCATCATTTTTGCTTAGTACATGAAGAAGAAATGTTAAAGGAATCCCAGGCCAGTCAAGAACATTTGAGGGCAGAGCTGGAAGAGGCTAAAATTTCACTGCAAAAAGCAGAGGTACACCTTGCTTATAGTTTTACAGTGTAAATAGACTAGATGAGCATTTGCATAAATAATTATGGATATGAAACAGCTGTAGCTGTTTGTTGCAAAACATGTTTAGAGATTATATCATGTTTTGAAGGTTACTCAAAAGAACTTAGAAACAGAATGTCAGACTACAGTGAAAGCATTAATTCAGGTCACTGGAGAAAAGGAAGCACAGGAGGAAGAATGTAAAAAAATGGAAGCTTTGCTTGCAGCCCTGACAGAGGAGTTTGAGACTTCTACTGCCAATTTGAAAAGCTTACTGCAAAAGGAGCAAAATAGGTAAATTAAAGAGTTTAAATTTGGAGAGTCATCTTACAGGTTGCAGTCTATGACAAAGAGCAGTTAAAAATGAAGCTGAGACTTGGAGGTTTTTTTGACACAGTGGTCTAAATCAGAGAATTTAATGTTGTTTTTTTTTTTATTTGTGATGGTTGATACTGGTCTATAAAAAGTAATTTTTTTCCCCCTTTGACTTTTATAATTCTGTCTTTAAGAAATACAGATTTCTGTATGTATATATTTGTTTACTTTTAATATCTACTATTCTGAAATTGTAAAAGTAAAAATTTGATATGTGTTGCAGGCTGATATATCATCTGCCTGTTGAAAGGTAAATGTTGTTAAAGTGCTTGTGGTAAGACTGTCTTATTGTCCTTTAAGTTTCAAATGCAGTGTTTTGTACTATACATTTGGGATTTTTAAATTTAAATTACTGTTTTCTTAGATTAAAGGAATATGAAGACAAGTCAAAGCTGCTTACCTTGGAGCTCCAAAATAAGTCTGCTGAGCTGGGTAAGGCTTGTAGAAAGGCATAAAATGAGCTATGCAGTAATAAAAATGTTTTCTGGAAATGGACTGTTTCTAGTACTTGGAGAAATGATTTTACAGTACCTGTACCTGTCAGGAATGCCTAAATTTCTTTTTACTCATCTGACTCCATTTTCTTTGGTGGTCATTGGTACTGGAACAGCCAAAGGGCAGTGCTGTGCAGAACCCCAGTAGTAAGACCATCCATGCATGAATTCTCATGGAAGTAATTTTGGTTTCCAGCTAAGACTAGTAGCACTGCAGGTGCCAGGAGTGACTTCTGTGGCTTGTAGCAGAGATAAAACCCTCCCATTAACGTTTCTGTACTTGGCTGGATGTGCAGTGGTGCTGGCAGGGGTTATCTTTAAATACTGCTTTGATATCATGTGGTTTCTAGGGATGTGCTCCCTAGCCCCCAGAGTAAGAGATCTGCCTTCAGGACTGTTTTCCTGCTGTGCAGCACATGGCCCTGGGTTTCATCTGACAGATGAGAAATGTGGTTGGATGTTTTTATCTACACTGAGGGCATCTATAGAGAAGTGTTCAAAAGTGAACTGCTAATACTTGTTTAGATCGAGGCAGGATGAGACCTGTGAGAATTCCACACCAAACGTGACCTTGGTGTTGAGTACTTGCAAAAAATACCAGTATTGTGAATTTGCACATAGAAAACATTTGGAAGTTAGTAACAACTGGTTTCCTTTTTCAGCATATCCGTGTGACACCTTTAGCAGTTCAGATTTTTTTTCTGGAACAATGCAGATGCATCAATACTTGGAGAATACTCTGGTCTTACAGTCCATGGTTTTGTTTGAAGCCATAACTGTGGAAAACATAATCGGCTCTGAATTTTATCTCTTCAGATATAGATTTGCTAATGTCTTTCTTTATCATTTTTTCAAGTCTACATTTAGATTAAGTCATAAATTAGCTTTACAGCTTCTGAACTTAATCCAGAAAGTTTTCAGAACTGGGTATTGGAAAAGGGTTTAATTTTGCCTGCCAAATATGAAAAATTATTTCTGTTCCATTAAATTTACATTACATGTGTTGTAGAGGAGATGACTAAAGTAAAATGTGACAAAGAAGTGCAACTTGAAGAGCTGTCAGAAACTCTGGTAAATGTTCATTTTATTAATCTTATAGCATTTGCTCTTAATTGAAATTCCTCTTGCTTTGTAAGTATCTTAAATGCCATAAATGAACACCATCTAGTCAACTTTAACATTTCTACTAAACTTTCTCACACACAATTTCAGTGTTTTCTTTGAAGAACTTTATTGCCACTGTTTTTCTCGTCTCTTGTGTTTTGGTTTTTCTTGTCTCCCATGTTTTGGTTTTCATTGTCAAGGTTTTTGGTTATTTCCTTCTTTGTTCATGCTCATTCAAATGCCACTCCCTCTGGATATAAAGTTTCCCAATTTTTTGCTTACTTATAGGAAGGTAATTGGCTCTGGCCTCTTTGAACCCTACTGTACTGTGACATAGGCCCATTTTCTGTCACAGAAGTCTTAAGCTATATGAAGTACACTCTTAATAGAGGTTTATTTTCATTATGATTTTATATTAACAAGTCTAACAAGAAACCATATCAAGTCAAGTTAGTGTGAAATCAGGTGTACATTTTACCATGTCTGCTTATTGTTATAATCTGTGCATTGAGTGGTCTAAGTTTCACTAATTTTCTAAAATGGGCAGGTTGGAGGACTTGTACTGAAGAAGGATCTTGAGGCTACTGTAGAAAATTTGCAGAGAGAAAAATTTGGAGAGAGAAATGAAAATGCTCTTGCTTTTATAAATAGTGAAGTAACACATCATAACGTGTACACTAGTACATAAGAAATAGCACACAGAGCAATGTCCCACGCTGAACTGCTCTGCTCATAACAGTGACAGCAGGAGATCCTCTGTCCTCCTGTAGCCTCTTACACTCTTAGAGTGGCTGTACTAAGGATGAAGACACAGCCCTGCTGATTGCCTTTCTGTTCTATCTTATAGAACTGGAATTCTCTGATTTTTACTTAGATGCATGTAAAAGCTTATGAAGTCTGAAGTAAATGTCTTTATTTACAATTATGTCCAAGGAATCTAATTTTAGTAGTTTTGCAGACTAGGTAATTAAACTAATTACAGCAGGGGACATTTACAGCACTGGTGTCAGAGTTCACTCTCTCACACCACTTCCATATCCCACCAGAGATATGTGAAGATACAGTCTGGATAATCCATGACATGGATGTTGTTTGGTTCTTCTGAAAGCCTTGTGCTGTTAGCTCATGTCTGATAACCTCCATGAATTGTAGTTTACACATGTATACTCAAAACTTTTCCTTTTCCTTTTGCAGAAAGAAATCCATGATTTGAAAGTACAGCTGAAAAGGAACAAGATTATTTAAACCAGCTTTTGACTCTGAAAACAGATCTTGAACAAGAGGAGTATGACCATTTTGAAAATACAGTGTTTAATTTTTTTTGGTGTTATATAGAAGTTACTTTAATACACAGTGAAACGTACTATGATTGTTTTCAAAAGGAAGTTTTGAACTAATTAGTATGACATTAATTATACACTTGTATTTGTAAATTAGATTTTGTCTATTTGTATGTATTCTGTGGAATACATGGTTCCGTATCTGTTTGACTTAGTTAACAAGAAGAGAAGGTTTCTGAATTCATAGTTAATCCTGCTTTAAACTACATCATCTTCA